CCCCCCCCGGTCTACTTAGAGTGGCAGTGGCTCTTCAGGGTTTCAGGGGTTTTTTTACAGGGTGGTTTGGGATGATAATTTTGGGTGTCCTCTTCAGCACTTTTTCTGCTATTATTCCATTGGAGCTCCACATTAGGAGGATGTGTGTGTGTGTTAAAACTAGTATTTCTCTGCAAAACTGGAGTCCTTGAGTTTGCAGAACTCTATATTTTAACCCTGGCTGGTAACCCCCCTCCACACACACCTTTAAAACATGCCTGCCTACACTGAAAAGGTTATGGGGAGGGCAGGGTATAAATTTAATAAATAAATACATTTTGCAAAGCCAGTTTTAAAATAAAAAAGAAGCACAAGGTTCACAGCAGAAGGACCCCCCCCCCGCTCCTACCTGTGACGAGAACTACGGAGGCTTGGAGCAGTGGCTGGGAAGTTTGGCAGCACCACCCTCTGCTTCCTGAACTGAGGCAGCCCCTCCCTGGGCTCTCTGCTCAGAGGCAGCCCCACCCTCGGCTTCCTGCTCTCAGAGGCAGCCCCGCCCTTGGCTCTTTATACTCCCACGCAGCTCAAGCTGAGAATAGGGAGGTTGTGCAGGGGAGGGGGAGAGAAGAGAGCCCCACTCCCAGGCCGGATTAAAGGCCTGGGCAGGCCAGTTCCAGCCCAGGGGCCGCAGGTTTGACACCCCTGAGTTAGGGCATCTAGCAAATAAAAGAGTATGGTTTGCCCAACCAAGATAACAAGCTGTTTGGGTGATAGCAGCTTGGGTCTGAGCGTTGACCCTTCTTGAAGATTGGAACTATTATTGTGTGCCTCCAAATTTGGGGGGATGGGATGGCCTCAGGTGTGTTTATTTGTGAAAACAGCACACCTGGATCTCTGCCCATCAAAATGGATTTAAATAATTTGTTTGGAATAACGTCTGCTCCAGGGCCCTCTCCATGTGGAGGCGATGGATCAAGCCTTCAGCTGGAGAAGGGGTCACCTCAGGCCAGTCTGGAAGAGGGCCATCAGCTTCAGGTATCTCAGAAGTAAAAAGTAAGAGCCAAGAATTCCCTCAGAATATACAGTATTATTGCTCTTTAGCTTCCTGTGTTTTCACTGTAGTTCTCTTTTGACAAGCCTGTACTCTTTGTCAAATCAGAATTTTATGAGGCCAGGGGCCTCATAAAAGGTGCACTATCAGGTGTAATTTTAGAGTACAAGGTCTTGCAGAGGGACTATAGCCTATACAAGATAGTGAGACAGCTCCTAGCTACATCAGAACCAAGTAACAATCTCCTTAATTCTTTTGGACTATATAGGATCGTCTGTTGAAAGTGATAGAAAAGTGTTGGGTCCCAGACCACAGCTGTCATGCACTAGGGTGTGATTTGGTTGAAATTCTGTACTTCAGAGAGGGGTGGAGTTTGAGCACCAACCTATTCCAGGTCCTCTCCCCTCACTCTTCTGTGCCAGGAGGTGGCGCTGGTACATTCCCCTCTGCCTCCACCCTCAAGCCTTTTAAAGACACTAGCCAGGCCTGGGTCATGTCAGGTAGCCTCCCTCTACCCAGAGGGGGTTTGGTCAAGCCCATGACGGCCCAATAGCACCTTCTGAGCACTCTTTCAACTCTTTCCCCCTGCCATTCCCCTCCACCTTCCAGACAGCTTGTTGTCCGATGACTGGCTATCAAAGTGTCACCAGTGACTGGCTGACTATTAAAGGGTCAGCTGCTGCTGATCTGCTGGCTGGTATGAAGACCTTTACAGGGTCATCCATGGCTTCACTGGTACTGGTGGATACTTTGATTGACAACATGGGGTGCCAAGAAGGAGGAGGGTCTGGTGTTAGTCTTGCTGCCCCTAGACAAAATGAAAGAGTTGCTTGTTTTAATTAGAATTACTTAGAATTAATTAGAAGTTACATGGCAGGCACTTTTAAAGAATCAGGGGGAGAGATTTGGGGTTTGTTATTTTATTCTGGAAATTATTTTTAAACTATTACTGTACACTGTCTTGAACCATGAGGAAAGGTGGGGTATAAATGTTTTAATAAATAAAATAATAAATAATACATTTTGAGGATGTTCATTGCATCTCTGCTTGACAAAAGATTGTTGTCCTTCACTTCTTGCTTTCTAAACCCCACCCTGCATTTCAGTTTGACAGGGGCCAGGATCCTAAGAGCTGTATGTGTGTCTGTACTTTTGCAAAGAGTGTACATGTATGTGTGTTGGTTGAATACCTGTTGTGGCTGCGGTCTCACAAGCTACCATCTCTGGAAAGTTTCCTGACCTCCAGAAATGGATTTGGGGTGAGTTTCAAGGAGCTGTGATGGGAAGGGGTCTGAAAAACCCTGCTGTACCAGAAGAACCCTGCACATGGCCTGTGGGATCCCATGCAAGACCTGCAGTCAATAGGTTATCTTTGGCCAGCAAGATCACAAGGAAGGTTCTTCTTTGTTTCTGCCAATGGAAAGGTTCCTTTTTCAAGTCATTGTTCTCTGTGCAGAAAGGAGAAATCAATGCAGGTTATTATTTTTTCCTCTGTGGGGAAACCAAATCCGTACATAACCTAGGGTGAAACAATGATTTGCAGTGAGGCAAAGGATCTGTGCTTTGTGGTCCTTCAGCCGGTTTGGGCTTGGTTCTCTTTTTATATTCTCTGTGTTTTATTTATATATTCCAAAAGAAAGGCTGAAAAACACAGGACAAGTTTCAGCCAAAACTAACCATCTGCAACTGATTACACTGGGAGAGCTAAGCTTGTACTTAAAAGGTGGCTATTGTGCATTTACCTTTGCAGGGTCTCATGCTGATTGTCCCAATGGAGTAGATTACTAATGCTGTATAGTCATAACTTTCGCACCATCTATTTCCTGTTATTAATACCAATCACAGCAAAATGGTTCAACTTACACTAGCATTCTACTTTTTTTTAAATTCAGTATCTCTAACAGCGATGAACGACTCCAGTTTTAAGGGATTTTTACTACAGGCCCGAGAAATTGGAGGAGATGTAGCTGTTGGTACGTTTCGGATTCTAACGCCTGACACCCAAGGCCTTGTATGTAACAACATTCAGGTATGCGATTATGCCTTGTATAATACTTTTGTTATAGCTTCTGTCTTACCTCACGGGTTTTGGGTTGTTTTTTTAGTATCGTGATTACTGTGTCAGACTAGAACTAGATACTTAGATTCAACTCCCCACTCAGCCATGAACCTCAGTGAGTAGGGTTACGAGCTTCCAGGTTTTGGCTGGAGATCTCATAAGAGAAGCCAATGTTGGATCAGGCCAATGGCCCATCTAGTCCAACACTCTGTCACACAGTGGCCAAAAATACCAGGTGCCATCAGGAGGTCCGGCAGTGGGGCCAGGACACTAGAAGCCCTCCCCCCCAAAGCACCAAGAACAGTGCATCACTTGTCCCAGCCTGAGAGTTCCTATCTATACCTTGTGGCTAATAGCCACTGATGGAATTCTGCTCCAGAGGCTTATCTAATTTCTGCTTGAAGCTGTCCATGCTTGTAACTGCCACCACCTCCTGTGGCAGTGAACTCCATCTCCTGGGATTACTACTGATCTCCAGGTGACAGAAATCACTTCACCGGAGAAAATGGCTGCTTTGGAAGGTGGACTCTATGGCATTGTACCTCATTGAAGTACCTCCGCTGTCCAGACTCATCCATCCTCAGTCTCCACCCCCAGAATCTCCAAGGATTTCCCAACCTAGAGCTGGCAACCCTATCACTGAGTGGCCTTGGCCACCATCTCTTTCCAATCCTACAGCACCTGCTAAGATTGTTGTGTGGATAAAACAGAAGAAGAGAGGGCAGTGTACATGCTCTGAGATCCCCATGATAAAAATGTGATTCATAGATATACACTGCTGAGTAGAACTTCGAGCTAGGATCTAAAGAGCTGCTTCAGGTGTGCCCAAGGGTGTTTGAGTATCCCTGGTGGGATTTTAAGAACCATTTTTTCTCTCTGAACAGTAGACTCTCCCATATTGTACCACAAATAGCTTTTTAAAGTCTCCTTAACTTCAAACTATGTTTGCTATATGGCACCTAATAGTGCAATCCTGTACAGAGTTATTCCAGTCTAAACTGGAGCCTTGGAGTAGAGTAACTTTGCACAGGATTGCACTGCAGTTCGTATAAAGTTCCGTTTACAGGGAGAGTCAAAGGGTGGAATCTTTAGGTTCACTGAGGACTGAGGCTGAGTATCTCTGATCTATTGTGGATAGAGAGAGCAGATGACTGAACAAGGATTGTTGGTACTGTCACTGGAGCTCTGGGCCATTTTCTACACATCCAATACTCCCCCCACCCCAATCTGAAGTCAGTGGAGCAGCTTTTAGCTACTTAGATGTGAATTACAATTACCACCTGTTATTATGGGATTGCCACCAACCCTGGCCAGGACTTGCAATAAAATAATTGTTTTCTTTTCCCTCAGTGTGAGTGTTGCCTCAGCAGCGATGATAATTTCCAGTCTTTCACAGTCTGTTTTGGATTCATTTTCTTCATTTTCATTGTCTATTATATTTCTCTTTTCTTCCTGATTTATATAAACTCAGGGGTATGGATACATGTTGATATATGTTAAATGTTTTACAGTTAATTGAACCAGGGATCATTTCCTAGAAAAAGAGGTGCAGGAGCTCATTTCCATAACTCATTTGCATATGCCACACCCCCTGACAAAGGGCAGGCATGTTTAAAATGAGTTAAGGCATACGTAAATGAGTTTAAATCCCCCCCCCTTCCCTGAATCTTTCCGCAAAAGCGGAGAGGCTCAGGGGGAAAGGCAGGCGTGTCTGCCTCCCTGTCCTTCCCATCTCCAGCCAACCCATGGGGCACCTGGAGAAGGTCGGGCAGGGAACCCTGGCATTTAAATACACCCCCTCCCTAAGTCTCTCATGGGGGGTGGGGCCTGGGCTCCTTGCTGCCCGAGCACCACTCCAGGGCGCTCTGGCAGGAAAGGACCCCTGAATTGAACTAATATTTGTTGGAGTAAGCAGTGTCTGAGGTAGAAAAGAAGAAAAGAAGAACTCTGCAGGGGGCAGCAAGAGGGAAGGCCAGTTAGACAGGATAGCGGGGTCAGGAACTTATTTCCTCATAAGTATCATTCCTTGTCTGTCTGCAGATGACTACTTTTCGGGCAGTATCCTCCTCCTTCTCAGACGTTCCAAACTCACAGCGCTCTCTCTTGCTCTCTCTCACCTAGTGATGTAGCTAGGAACCTATCTCTGTCTCTGCTCTTTACTATCATGGATCACTGCCTAGAGTGATCCCCTGGAGAAGGTAATGGCAACCCACTCCAGTATGTTTGCCAAGAAAACCCCATGGACAGTATCAAAAGGCTAAAAGATATGACGCCGGAAGATGAGCCCCTCAGGTCGGAAGGTGTCCAATATGCTACTGAGGAAGAGCAGAGGGCAAGTACAAGTAACCCCAGAAAGAGTGAAGCGGCTGGGCCAAAGCCGAAAGGACCCTCAGTTGTGGATGTGTCTGATGGTGAAAGGAAAGTCCAATGCTGCAAAGAACAATACTACATAGGAACCTGGAATGTAAGATCTATGAATCAAGGTAAGCCTGACGTGGTCAAAAATGAGATGGCAAGACTGAACATCGATATCCTAGGAATCAGTGAACTAAAGTGGACAGGAATGGGCGAATTTAACTCAGAAGACCATTATATCTACTACTGTGGCCAGGAATCTCGTAGAAAAAATGGTGTGGCCTTTATAGTCAACAAGAGAGTGCAAAAGGCAGTACTGGGATACAATCTCAAAAATGACAGAATGATTTCTGTCCGATTCCAAGGCAAACCATTCAACATCACAGTAATCCAAGTCTATGCCCCAACCACTGATGCAGAAGAGGCTGAAGTAGACCGGTTCTATGAAGACCTACAACACCTCCTAGAACTAACACCAAAAAATGATGTCCTCATCATCATAGGGGACTGGAATGCTAAAGTAGGAAGTGAAAAGGTAACTGGAATAACAGACAAGTTTGGCCTTGGAAAGCAAAATGAAGCAGGGCAAAGGTTAACAGAGTTTTGTCAAGAGAACACACTGGTCATAGCGAACACCCTTTTCCAACAACCTAAGAGGCGACTCTACACATGGACATCACCAGATGGGCAACACCGAAATCAGATTGACTATATAATTTGCAGTCAAAGATGGAGAAGCTCTATCCAGTCAGTAAAAACAAGACCTGGAGCTGACTGTGGTTCAGATCATGAGCTACTCATTGCAAAATTCAGACTTAAACTGAAGAAAATCGGGAAAACCATGAGGCCATTCAGGTTTGACCTAGATCACATCCCTGATGAATATACAGTAGAGGTGAAGAATAGATTCAAGGGTCTGGATTTGATAGATAGAGTGCCTGAAGAACTATGGACAGAGGTTCGTGACATCGTACAGGAGGCAGCAATCACCACCATACCAAAGAAAAAGAAATGCAAGAAAGCAAAATGGCTTTCTGATGAGGCTTTACAAATAGCAGAGGAAAGAAGGAAAGCGAGAGGTTGAAGAATGGATACAAAAAGTTCTGTTCATGGCACAAATGGATAAGATTACAAAAAAACTGAATAACAAAGAAGACGATGAGTTTTTTGGAGAATGGAATGATTTTAAAATTTATCTGGAAAAGAACTGGGATGTGAAACAAAACTTAATATGTTTAGATCAATATTAAGTCAAACGATGTTATCTTTAGATTGTAATGATGAAAAACTGATATTGTTGATGATATGAAGTAATTTGGAGCAGGGGTGGAAGCATTGTGGGAAGCCATTGGAGGGAGGGGAGGAACTGGGAATGGGGTAGACAATTGATAGAATGAAATGTTTTATATGTTGTATTCCTGAGAAAATAAAATTTGTTTACCAAAAAAAAGGATTGTGCTGCAGTTCGTATGAAGTTCCGTTTACAGGGAGAGTCAAAGGGTGGAATCTTTAGGTTCACTGAGGACTGAGGCTGAGTATCTCTGATCTATTGTGGATAGAGAGAGCAGATGACTGAACAAGGATTGTTGGTACTGTCACTGGAGCTCTGGGCCATTTTCTACACATCCAATACTCCCCCCACCCCAATCTGAAGTCAGTGGAGCAACTTTTATCTGCTTAGATGTGAATTACAATTATCACCTGTTATTATGGGATTGCCACCAACCCTGGCCAGGACTTGCAATAAAATAATTGTTTTCTTTTCCCTCAGTGTGAGTGTTGCCTCAGCAGCGATGATAATTTCTAGTCTTTCACAGTCTGTTTTGGATTCATTTTCTTCATTTTCATTGTCTATTATATTTCTCTTTTCTTCCTGATTTATATAAACTCAGGGGTATGGATACATGTTGATATATGTTAAATGTTTTACAGTTAATTGAACCAGGGATCATTTCCTAGAAAAAGAGGTGCAGGAGCTCATTTCCATAACTCATTTGCATATGCCACACCCCCTGACAAAGGGCAGGCATGTTTAAAATGAGTTAAGGCATACGCAAATGAGTTTAACCCCCCCCCTTCCCTAAATCTTTCCGCAAAAGCGGAGAGGCTCAGGGGGAAAGGCAGGCGTGTTTGCCTCCCTGTCCTTCCCATCTCCAGCCAACCCACGGGGCACCTGGAGTAGGTCGGACAGGGAACCCTGGCATTTAAATACCCCCCTCCCTAAGTCTCTCATGGGAGGCGGGGCCTGGGCCTCTTGTTGCCAGAGCACCACTCCAGGGCGCTCTGGCAGGAAAGGACCCCTGAATTGAACTAATATTTGTTGGAGTAAGCAGTGTCTGAGGTAGAAAAGAAGAACCCTGCAGGGGGCAGCAAGGGGGAAGGCCAGTTAGACAGGATAGCGGGGTCAGGAACGTCTTTCCTCATAAGTATCATTCCTTGTCTGTCCGCAGATGGCTACTTTTCGGGCAGTATCCTCCTCCTTCTCAGACGCTCCACACTCACAGCGTTCCACACTTATGCTCTCTCTCAGCTAGTGATGTAGCTAGGAACCTATCTCTGTCTCTGCTCTTTACTATCAAATATGTTAGTTCCTGAGTAAAGCTTTCTCTACACTTTAACCAGTTAGTGCAGCTCCGTTGTCTAATCAGTCAGCCAACGATATTAACTTCTTTATGTCAATTAAACCTCATAAGATCATTCCAGGCTAAATGAGGTCTGGACTTTTATTCTGAAGTTCATGAACAAGGCACAAGGACTGGGCCACTATGAATCCCATAGCATCTGGGATAGATATGGGGACTACTTTTAGAGAAATGTCAGTTTGTATCCACCCCTACAGTTCCAAAGACTTTGGAAGAGGGGATGACAATTGCTTTCAATTTCCCCTCCCACAGCAGACCCAAATTCCTCCCTGCCCATAACCCCCAGGAACAAAAATTTCAGGGGACTCAGTGGGCAGTAACAGGACAGGGAGTGCTCCATGTGCTCTTTGCATAAGGTTACCAATCTCAAGGTGGGGCCTGGAGTTCTCCCAGAATTACAGCTGATTTCCAGAGATCATTTTCTTGGAGGAAATGTCTGCTTCAGACAGAGGTCCAAGGGTGATATCACATACTCACTGAGCTCCTTTCCCTTCCCAAATTCTGCCCTCCCTAGGCACTTGCCCCCCCCCCCCCGGCCTCCAACAATTTCCCAGGAGTTGGCAACCCTGGGTCTTCACTAGTGGCTCACTAGCTGAATACAAGCCACTATCTTTTTATGATAGTGAAAGAAAGGGAAGGGTAGTGCTGTGCCCCTAGCAGTTACTCATTTTGAGGGAAGATATGTTAATGTTTATTTCTGTGTTCCCTCCCTGTTTTCAGCCAAGTCTGTGGCATTCCTCCTTAGCCCCGTTGCTTCCTGCTTTTGAGTGTTACTGGAAGGGCTCACACACCTTCTGCTGCTCACCCAAAGTTCCGGCAATCACTCTGGTCTTATGGAACAGCCAGGAGATTCATTCCCATTGCTTCTGCAATGGGCCTGTGAATCCCTTGCTGTGGTACTTCTGGTGATGGTGTGAGAACCCAGTGTGACAACTGTTTCCCACTACAGGAGGTAATAGTGTCTTCTATTTGATAGGTTGCCTAGCTGTTCACTCCAGTCCATTCCTCTTGTTGCCAAAGCCACTACTACACAATGGTGTTATTGTCTTGAACTTCTGGGAATTCACAGTTGTAGTATTCTGATAAAAAGACCAGGAATGCTGTGGTTAGTTTGTTCTCAAAATAAACGCTTTAATAGCCATTATTCAGTGTTTTCATTTTCTGGCAGGCATATTGACCCAACTGTTTTTGTGTGTTTCTAAATGCTCTTGTCACACCTCTTGTACACTTTATAGCTGGTAAACATCTCCTTATCAATTGGCAGGATTATCTGGAAATGACCCAAGTACACAATTTTGAGGTTGCTTACCCCCAAGGAGCTTGGTTAGCTGTATCATTCTCCCAAGCAGAGACAAGAATTTTATTGCATATGAGATACAAACATGAAGTAAAAAGCATGTCTATGCCAGATTGTTGAGTCTTTTATGGATTCATTTTTGCAAAACAATTTTTATGTTTTAGAATCCTCAAACTGTATTGTTTCGTTTCATATCAGGTCTCATGTTTTCCCCCCTTTTAATGATAGAATTCTTCTGTGAGTCATACTGACAGGAGAAACAAGCAAAATGTATCTGCAGTTTGGGTTGCTCCTCCTGGTCTGAAGCATGTTATTTTCAGGTAAGTCTTGTTTGTTTGAACAAGCTAGCAGACTTTGAAAGTCCTCATTTTCACAAGGGGCAAAGTAACCTTATTGTCGTTATAATATAGCGGACCCTAGAAAACTGTGCCCTTGCTATGTAAGCGTAACAAGATCATACTTTCAATGAATCCATAATCTCAAATGGAATTTATGGAATTTATGGACCATAACTCTGCATACAGATGCACAACACAGGAGAAAAAGTCTAACTCACTATCACACTTTGGCCCTAAAAATAAGTGATGGCATTATTGCGTGCAGCTCTGATTTGTATGTTGGAATGATAGTGATAGAGGACTGAATCTCATTGTTGTGTTCATGGTAGCAGTCTTGCCTGCTAAAGAGATAGTACTGCAGCTAGTTTTTTTTGGCATTAGGAAGTGCTAGCCTGATCTCATCAGCTCTCATAAGCTATGCAGGGTTGGCCCTGGTTAGTATTTGGATGGAAGACCACCAAAGAATACCAGGGTTGCTGTGCAGAGGCAGGCAATGGCAAACCACCTCTGTTTGTCTCTTTC